AAAAAACACATTTGTGCTCAATCTTTTTTTTTTTTTTATAAGACTTTGAATTTGAATAACTTTCTATTAATGTATAGTAAGTATTGTATATGTAACTGAATGATTTATTAGCATAAAGAGATTGATAAGTACTATGTTCATGTACAATTTAAGATCAATCACGTTTCTGTTTCAAATTTTATATTTCAGTGTGTTACTTTATGACTTGATATTTCATTGAAAATATTTGAAACATAACGAAAGAACTTAAATCCAATATTTTTTAAAAATTTATAAATGGAACATAAAATATCCAATTTAATACTGTTTTATATAACACACTTTTTTAATGCATAGTAAAATTATATAATATTGTATTGATATAAAATAATAATACACACAAAAAAAATTTATTAGTAACTTGTTATTTTTTATAATACAATAAATGGCTGTTATGTTCAATTAAATGNTTTATTAATAACTTGTTATTTTTTATAATACAATAAATGGCTGTTATGTTCAATTAAATGTGAAGTCATATTTCAAAAATGTCATACATATATACATCCTATTACAAGAATGATATAATAAAAATGAAACAAATTTATTGAATGAAATATAAAATTTTGATGAGCATAAGTTGAAAATGGAATTTTTATAAAAAAACTCGCAACAATGTAGTGATCAACGAGTTTATAGATTCCGCATGAGACCCTAAGCATAGCTATCTTCGTATTTGAGATATATTCAACCAAAATCTGATTAATACGTTACGTCCAGAATATTAAGTGTTTTGCCTCGCAGTGGAATGCAAAACTGTAGAATGGATTTCTAAATGACAAATCTATTCATATATCTTGAATATTTGCAATCAAAAATCTATTAAAGCATAAGTTTTATTTTTATACATTTTAATTGAAATATTTTTTTGCATTATTAAATTATGCTAATAGCTATAGTACTGCAGTAAAAATCATTTTCAAAATAGTATTAAAGTAGGTACTCATAGACTTTGTTTAAAAATCAGAATGTCTTGTAGGAAATTATTTCATTGAGAATTTGAAAAATATTTTTAAAAATTATTTGAGTAGATTATTCTTAGAAATGCCTAATGTATAAAGATAATGTACGAACAACAGTTATAACAACCGCTATCGAACATAAAGTGGTTGAAATTTAGTTATAAGACACTGTGACTGTAAGATATTGTTCGAATAATAATAAATATTAGATTTACTCATATTAAAGTACAGGCCATTTATTTAAGCCCAAATGACTATAATAGGTCANGAATATTAGATTTACTCATATTAAGCCATTTCTTTAAGCCCAAATGACTATAATGGGTCACCAAGAGCGATTCGACTAATCTCTCAAGGTTGAAAGTCAGAAAGAATGCGAATGTGTAAATAGACAGTGAGAAGTTGTTTAGCTATTAGTTTCGCACAGTACACATGGTCGAATTTAAAATCCTTATAAGCTGACAAGTAACGACGTATAGTACAAAGTGTTCCGATTTCTTGTTCACAGATACTTAAAAAGAGGAAATTAGAGAATATAGATTTATAGTTGATTTACGTTACTCTGAAATGAAAATAATGCTTTTAACTCTATATTCTCTTCTTATACATCATCAAACACGACGCAAGTATAGTGTGTTAATATATTGCTTTTGATCACATCCGGATGCCGAGTAGCATTAATAATATATAGGTGCATCACATGCTACCAACAACAATAAATGTCAAAGAAGTTTTCGTAGAAGTGACGTGCGCAATAATGCAAATAGATAGACATATTTATACATTTATCGTTTTTTATTATTGATCTTAAAACGAAAATATAGTCGACAGGTATGAACAATGTCGATTCATCACGTGAAATGACAAAACTATGCATAGGATTTATATTCTGTGTCCACTAGAGAACTGAAAAAAAGTTTGATAATGAATTAACTTATTGGCGGTATTTATAATTTTTCCAAGTAATATATAGAGAACTAAAAACATAAACTTACAAAATATTTTTATTCCGCAGATCATTTAACAATTATTTTGAGTGTCATTGTTATTTCAGTGAATAAAAAATAAACGATCGGTGTGAGTAAAACGTGGAACAGTCATCATTTCAGAGAAAAATATAATTAAATTGAATACTTCAGTTTAATAATGTATAAAAAACACATTTTTTTTTTTTCAAAAAATTACTGAGTGAATAACATGACTTGCAAACCTTTCAATTAACCATGTCACTTTTATTCATTTCATAATAAAATGTTACACGCATTTGATCAAGTTTTAGAGAAAAAAGGTTTGATTATTATTTAAACTCGTTAATCCTTCATTGCGAGTATTTTTATCATAATAATTTTGCCTAATTTGAATATTTTAAACATTATACTTAGAATTGTAAAAAATATTAAATCAAAATTCATAGCAGTAAAAAAAATATTGGATTTTACATGTTGGCGTGTGACCTTAATACAACATTTATTTTAATATTGCAATATAACGTACATTAAAAAAAATTACCGTACTCTGCAAATTAAGTGTAGAATTTTAAACACTGAGAGACAGGATAAAATAACTAATCAGTCTCTGACATTTCGTGTAATCTATACTCATTTGATTTTTTTACTCTTGATAATAAAAATCCAAATGTTTTATATGAGTGTATGTGTTTTTTTAATATTACTTTGTTTAAAATGCTAACAAGAAAATAAAGTTTAAGTATTTTTTCAGTTGCAATTACAAGTTAATTTAGATAGTGACTAAGATAAATAACTTTAAAAATATAATCATTTTATACCAACCAAGAAGAAAATAATTGAGCTCGCAATAAAATTATACAAAAACTAATTTTTAGTAATTGTTGTTCTAATTCGACGAACTAATGTAAAATTTACTATCCTTCTGCTTTTCCAGCTAAATATAGTCAATTTATTTCAACCTTGACGTCGCAAAATAACTCTTAAATAATAATTTATAATCACATTAATACATTTGCAGTTTACATGGAAGATTGCGTGATGACTTTTAGTATTTAAGTGCAAATTTTTTAATTTTAGGACATTTAGATTACGTGTAAATAATTAAAAAATATTGCATAATAAACTGAAAAGATACTTTTAAAAAAAGTGTATTAAATATTTATTATTATGAACTTAAAGAACACAATTGGAGAAGGACACTTTACCGAAATGTTTTGCTGCAGATATTTTGTTTGATAAGATGGCGTAACGATAATTACACTATTAATTATTTCAACATTTTTCGCATATGATAATCTTTATGAAACCATTGACAAAATCATCTGTTATTCAATTGTTAAACAAATATAACAAATTTAATTTAATTTAAACTATCTACCATAGAGTTTCCAATTATATTTTTGAATTTGAAAAAAATTTAGGTTGACAATTGTAAAAGGCCTGTCAGAAATCATAATAGGCTTCAAATTTATTTTAAATTATCACATAGCAATACATTTATTTTAGGTACTGAGAAGGGTTTTTTTATTTTTATCTAATTTTAATTGAAAATTAAAATAGTTACCATGTATTTTGAATACATTTTTATTATTTGTATAAAATATAAAAAATAAAGCGTCTTGCCAAAGGTATCAATACGAAATCTACAAATATTTTGTAAAGCAAATAATTAGTTTTATTTTGTAATATTCATAGAACTTAGAAGAAAAAAATTATTGTTATTTTTGAATGTCACTTAAATAAAAAAAAGTTATACTCGTAAAAATATAAATTTCTACCCCTTTGCACCNTAGTTTTATTTTGTAATAGTCATAGAACTAAGCAAAAAATTATTGTTATTTTTGAATGTCACTTAAATAAAAAAAAGTTATACTCGTAAAAATATAAATTTCTACCCCTTTGCACCACTTCAAGGAATTGACCTCGAGCATTAAAAATTTATTAAAGTTTTTCATTTATCACAAAAGTAAATGGGCGGTACAGACCTTCGAGTTTTAAAAGGCCCACCCTAGTGACAAGATAATGGTCTATTCAGTGAACTGTGTGAGTTTAGAGAGCTGACTTAAGATATAACCGACACGTGAATTTGCAGTATGTGCCAATTTCAAAAGTTTACTTCAGCCAGTAATAAGCAACACGATGTCATCGAAAATGTGCCCAAATAAATTAAGTCATTAACATTTTTTAATTCAAATTTGCGTTAAGCAGTTACGCAACTAAAACAACAAGAAGCCCGTGTTTAAATAGTGCAATCCTCTCTTTAGATTTTAAAAAAATAATGGCTTCCTCTCCAATTTATGTAGTTTCTGGCACCTAAATTTTTTTATACCTTCGAGGTATTGAAAATTTCGAGTAATTGAATTTATGAAAACATAAAATATTGTACAACATAAATTATGCGGACTTTAATTATAGTTCGATATAACAAAAAATTCAACATATATATTAATTTTTTCTTTTTTCTTCATATATTAAATGTCACTATNGTTAAATTTTTCTTTTTTCTTCATATATTAAACGTCACTATAACGATATTCGTCACAAGAAAAATATATTTTATAAATTTAGTAATAGTATTACTTAGAGAAATTTGTCTTTTAAATTAATAACTTCAAAAATAATCAGTATTTATTTATGTATACTTTTATTGTTTCCTTAAAGGCTACACGTAATATTTAATTATTCTATAGGTTTCAATGAACCATGTAAATTCATCTAAGCAACTACTAAAATCAATAATTTAAAAGAGAGTCAAATTTGTATATAGAACACTTTAGGTGTATGATATGATATTTCAACGACTCTTAAGTTTTATGTTAATGTGTTAGATTCATAATTTGCTAGTTTGAAATTGAATCAATTCAGTCTAAATTTTACAATTACCACTTAGCAGTTTTAAACTTTTGATTAATTGACAAAGTTTAAGATTCTCATCCACAGCGTCTACAACAATAAATATAACTTTTCAAGTTTCAGTACAAACATGACGTCGTACAACTAATTTTAATGAAAATTTGACAAATAGATCAGCTAAACTGAACAATCGTTTTCGATTATACATTTTTAGCAAATTTTGATATTTCATAAAACAACATAAAATTGAACACATAATGGTATATTAATAAATTAGGACATAATAATGTTATTAGTTTTTAGCGTTTTATTTTAAATCTAATCACAGTTTTCTACTTTAAAAGTGTGACTGAATATTATAGATTTATGTGTTTTCTATGCATTAGTTAACAGAATTGTTTTAAAGTAATGTCTCAAAGTATGAGTACAATTAATATAATTACTTGTATAACAAGAACATAATATAACTTGTCATCAAAGTTTTAATTAAAGTTCTAAAGTTTTGGCTTTTTATTCATTTTTTTGAGTTCAGAGTTTGAATTAGTTTTATTAATTGATATGGTGTTACTTAGTTATTTGGTTTTACTGAGAGTTAATAAAATGAATGCCCTAAAACAAAAAACTTATTGTTGCACGGTCAATGTAACAGCTGCCATTCAGTAAGCACAGGAAATACTAACATAGATTAAAGGAAATAACGCAGCATTTTCCACTATAATAGGCAATTCAATAACAGCAGCTACATATTGGTCTGTGGTCTGTTTGAATAGCTTCAATAATACTTGTAATGATTCGTCTGAACCAACTAAATTTCTGTATAATAATAGTAATAATATATATTAAATACTCTGAATTTGAAACCTTTATTGCTTAACTCTTAACAGTAGTTATACTTAGTTTCGTTCAAATATTAACTGTTATTAATGTAATTGAAACATATTTTTACGCTGAGTGTTTCGTATAACTATCGGTGTTCTAGGTATTCTAAAATTGAAATTTATTAAATTAAAACAAATACTGTTAAATTTGAAGCGCTTGAAATAGTATTTGTAGCATTAAAAATTATTTTTATATGTTATTCATACAAAATAAATTTGTTCCAATNTATTTGTAGCATTACAAATAATTTTTATGTGTTATTCATACAAAATAAATTTGATCCAATAAAATCAATAAGATTAAAAAAAGAATGTTATTATTTTTTAATTGAATCTATCTTGAAGATGTAAAAAAATTAGACAAATTTTGTACACGTTCTTGACATAATAATTACACCTTGTAGAATGTAAACAGATTTTGAATTTATAGAGAAAATTAATTTATCAAATTACATCTCCTAGACAAAATACTCCGGTACTAAATAATGATTTCCACGAATTTAAATCGCATTTCAAATAGTGTATTCGAGTTGTTTAGGAATCATTAAATTCCAATATATGTATTATTAAATATTTATATAATTTAAATAATAAAAACCCAGCACAGTGGGTGTGTGACATAGTTGGGTCAAGAATAATGATATCTGACAGTGATTAAAATCACTATCATAAAAAACGCTTCGATGCAAATCTTTCGATAGTATTTAATTTTAAATAATTGGTGGATTATTCCAAAAGCTACATGATCTCCTATTTCCTTATTTATGTCCTGATTACAAGTTGTATGATTTATAAGTATAATATATGAATAAATATATGTTTATAATATATAAATATATAAAGGGAAATGGTGTTATATTAAAAAAAAGTATGTCGAATGAAAGAGGGATATAAATATTATTTCTCATAAAAAATTGTATTGATCCATACACTTTTCAATAAGTTATAGCAATATAAAGTTAAAAATGTTAAATATAAAATCGAGAATTTCACACAAAAATAGCATTCGGTAACTATTTTCATCGTGAGGACAAAATAAAATCACAAATTCTTTTTTTTCCATAATAAAGTATATTATATTATCTTTAATTTAAGATATATATACAAGTGTCAGACTTTCCGGAACACTTTCAAAAGTTAAAATTAAAAAATTTTCATTTTAAATCCCCTCTGTGGATAGGTTAAGAGTCAAATTTATAAAAAATATACCAAATGATAAGTAAAGACATTATGCATCTATGAAAAAAAAAAATTATATTGATTTGGTAATTTTTAAAAAAGTTGTGGCAGTTCTAAGTAAAAAAAATTGTAAAAAATGTCGAAAATGAGCGATTTTTAAATTTGTAATTGTTTTGGAGATTTACCCCATTTACGGGGAACGAGGGATATTTTTTCAATTTTTGAGTGTAATTTTTTTTGACTAGATACGATTTGTGATCTTTTGACGTATCGTTGAAAGAAATCGGTTCGGTGAGAGCTGAGAAAAAGTGGTAACAGACACAAAAAAAAAAACACATCATAGTAAAACCAATACCTTCTCAACTTCGCATCGAAGCTAAGACGGTTTTTATTTTTTGTTACGTCATGTTACAGGCACAAAAAACACATCATAGTAAAACTAATACCTTCTCCAGCTTCGCATCGAAGCTAAAATGAACAAAAAATCTTAACTTAACTTTTATTTAGTTTTTTATATTTTCCAGGTCATTAAGGTGTGCACGTAATACACTACACACTCATATGTTTGCATCATTTGCTAGTAATAATTTACTGTGGTTGCTGTGGTACAACTTAGTCATCGAACATCCTACAGTTGTTCTAAATAATGAGGTATGTTTTATTTACACTATCTTCTTGTGCATAAATTTTAATTGTGTACAACGAAGATGACGAGATTTACTGTAAGCGTCTCAAAACTGAGTTTGAGATAGCCTACATGAAAGGAGACATTGAATATTCCCTTAATAATTTTATATACTAATAAGAAATATTTTGATTAAAACTTTTTAATGATAATAAAATGCATTCTACTGATATTAAAGATATACATAGATAAGTCTATTTATGTATATAGTATTATAAAAATTGTAAAGTAGTTGTGACACACTTACTGTTTTACACACGTTTCAAAATAAAAATCCATCGTGTACGATTATTTTTATTGTTTACTAAACTTAATATAAACCCTTTCTAGTTAGCCCTTTTACGCTGTTTATGTATTCTATAAACGTTTAACTTGCCAGTTTATAATACAGTTTTTTCCATCAATTTCACAGTTTTAAATATTCAAATAACGTTTTACTACCGCAATTACATATTTTTTTTACACTTACAATGTATAATCTAACCCCGTATTGTAGTCGAGTGTTATTATCCTATATGTTTAATAGAAAACACATGATAAACATAACTTAAGTAATCCAATACAACATTATAAGATCAAAATTTAACTATTCTAAAATAATTCAAAGCATCTATGAATAATTTTAATGAAAAAAAAAGTATTAACGTTTTATTAGAAAATTATGGTCTCATTAATTTTAGTTCATCATTTTGCAATTTAATTTTAAAAAAATATAAATGAAATAAATTAGATATTGACAATTGCTCTTCCCAATATTACACTTCTATGTGTTGAATAACATTAACAAATATATACGCATGATGTACAGTTTTATATTTATGAGCATCAATCATTTTTAGAAAAAAGGAATTTTCACATTAAGGACGTCTAATTTCGATGCCAATTCGTCTAATGTTCCAATTATCATGCCAATATGACATAAAAAGTCATTTTATATTCCCATTACGATAGGTATTGATTGTTTAGGGTTTTATTTTTACCAACATAAAAATATAACTGTTGAATAAAGAATAAACTACTTTCATTTTTATATGCACAAAAGTTTATTGAGGAAACCCACATTTGTTTATTTTGTATTAAAGTGCACTTTAGAAGATTTTAAAAATTTAAACAGCTAGTTTAATTAATTTTTCATTAAATAGAAAGCACGCAAATGTCCTTTTATACAAATACATTTGCCTATTTTATGTATTTTTTAAAGAAAAATTATGTAAATGTAAATAAGACTTATAATAAGATACTTACTTCTTCATAAACTAACTTTTTTTTTATAATGCGTTTTAAAATAAATTTATATAGTAAAGTAATTAAAAATGTCTTTAAAAAAGAAGAGTTGTATATAAAAATGTTCATTAAGAAGAAAACAATTTCAATTTGAAACTCGATATACAAATAAAGCCGTTATTAATTTCAAAGAAGATACAATAATTATATTGGTTTAACACTTATATAAGTTGTTTGGATAAAATGTAGATAATATAGATAAACTTATTTTACAGTGGTGGTGTCAAGTGCTTCACGTAGTAACTCATTATTTTCTACTTACAAATTACGCGTGGATGTTTGCAGAAGGTTTTTATTTACACACTTTGCTGGCATACGCTTTTACCGCTGAAGATACGTTAGTCAGATGGCTGTGGAAATTGGCCTGGTCCGCTCCGATGGTCATTATATCAGTTTATGCAACACTACGAATAGTCCACATGCAAACGTCCGAGTAAGTATAATTATTCATTTTGTTTTATTAACAATGATTAATGCAACTCTGATGGCAATATCAAAAATAATTATTAGGATTCTATAATTGTTAAGGTTTTTATATATTAAGTTTTTATTGTTTTTAATAATTTTCTTTTATAGTTAGTGGTTACCGGAAATCAGAAATAAAAGATTATCTGTTGAAATTAAAAATAATTCTGTAGCAAAAAACTAATATCATTAATATTTTTAAAACTTTACTACGATTTACAAGAAACGAATATAACGTTTCCTCTCTCAAAGTCGGCTTAGGTTTATCTAAGCTATGATTTACTTCAATCTAGATGATAGATTTCATATTGAGTTAAAAGTTTAGTTGTATCTTATTTTGTAGTATCTTATTCCCCTTCATTATAGTAATAGAAAATATTTTTGAGTTATATACTTAAAACCTTTTTATATATTTCGTATACAAATACGATATACATTGTTGAGTTTAAAGTAATAACCTTATAGTAATCTAGAATACGGCCTGTTATTATGACAACAATTGAAGTGTCCAATAATAATTTAATATAGTATTAAATAATATGAACATTTAATAATATAATAATTATATTAAAATACCTTTGAAGAACTATTTATTTTTAAAAAGAAAATTTTTTTATAATTTGCTCACAAAATAACTAATTATTGTTAAAATAAAAAAATATATTAAATGTATTAATATATTTATTGTGTATTGTGTAGCACGTAAATGTATTAGTAATAATCATTTAATTTTTGACCACAATTCCACAAGAGACTATATGAAAATAGTCGGTGTTTCCATAATGGTTCAATTTTTATTTGGTTCAGGGGTGAATTTGTTAGACATGTGCATATTTGTTCATGTTTTTTTAACGTGATTCATTAACATGACCATTGATGACACATAATAAGATTAATATATTTTCGTTAATTATCGTTGGAAATGTGTAGATCACTCAACCATAAACTATCTTGTGTTGTTTATCACTTATGTTGTTTATCACACGAACCGGTGAGTTACAACTGGTAGTGTGTACATACTATTGACACTTATCGTGTGTTTACTACATTATTGGTCGCTTGTGCCATACAAGTTTAACATAACAACTTTGTATTTTCTACAGTGGCGAAGTATACTAATTTGGTCTCAATACGAAAAACATAAAAGGCCAATTGTAAGAAAATTTTTTAATGAAAGAGCTTGGCAACAATATTTGAAAATTATTCGCGCTAATAAAATTATTTTTTTTTTGTACTCCGAGAGCGTTATTTTTTTTAAGTCAACAGGCATAGTTTTTATTTGAATATAATTTTGTATGTGCGCATCGCAATAATTGAGTTTGTACGCACTTATATTAAGTATATATAATCACACACAAAAATATAAACAAAATTATTTTGTTTTTAGTTAACATAGAAAGTATTTTAGTGATTATAAAGTTATCTTTTGCATACCTGTTGTGTTAACAATAATTCATATGGTATTATTAAGTATACTTTTAGTACATATTTTTATTTTATTTTTAGTCATAAAATAGGACAGTGTTATACACTTATTTTTCTTAAATTTCATTGGTATATCATATAAACATTTATTAGCAAAAATACTAGTTTCATTAGCATCTAATAATAGATGCTAATGAATATTTGTATTGATGTATTAGAATACATTTATACAAATTTCAAATTTACTTATATTTATTTGAAATTCTATATTATAACCACAAATAATAGATAGTAACAGAAACCGATGGTAACATCATAACACAATATTATTAATATTTGTTGATTCCAAAGATAGTGTTAAAATATAAATATTATTACATTATTGCGATAACCTCGGCACAAAACGTATACTTATTACATTTTGCTATTGGCTCTTTTTAGATTTTACTAATTTTAACAATTAAATGTTTATCCTACATTTGTTATACTAATTTTGAAGTATGTGACGTTCACCGGCTTCTAGCTGTAAGGCTTTTACCGCTAAACGCACATAAACCAAACAATGTTGGATCCACCACTAACCGAGGTTCTACCAGACCGGAAGTATAGTGGAATTTCAATTTTAAATGACATAAAATGTTTGAAGATTGTACTATTGTTCAAATTACTAAGTTTTTTATCTTAACTCTAGGGGAAAATAAAATAAAAAACTGGTAGACTAGAGGTATGGGCGGTGATGTTCTATTTAATACAATGAAAATAACTAATAACAAATTTAAATCAAATAATTATGCCTGAAGTACAATAAAATAATGTCAGTCACAAATTATAAATGTTCAAAATAAAATGAAGATTCAAATTCTTTTATATAACATATTTCAAGTCATGGTTAAAATTATTACAAATTATTTACTGATCTACAGAACAAATAAAATAAATAGAAAATGAGGGAGAAAATAATCTCTGACAATGCTGTATTGACCATGTTCTATTGGACCAAGGGCTAGGAGCGTATTTTGTAATATTGAATATAATAAAATGATTATCATTGCAATAATGCTCAAACAGACAATTTGTCATCGGTCAAAATGGATGTAGGCCTTTTAAACCGGGTCTTGAGACTGCTAAGCACGTCTACATGTAAGGTTTTTTGACACTCGACATGACAAAAATAATTAACATACTAAAGAAAATGATATTTTACAATAGACAATTTACGAATAGCCAATGATCAAAAGATGTCAGAAAAATAGGATAGAATAGAATAATCATATAAAAATAATGAAAGTATATTAATTTAATGACGGCTCATGTTCAAAGAAAACCTCGTGACAATGCACGACTATAGGAAACTTAAATGGACGAAAGAAAGAAAGGGATGTTTTACAAAAGTTACCACAATCATAACACAATGCTGTCCAAGCCGCAGCCAACCAAGTCTTCACCCATGGCTCGTTCGCCTGGGTCAAAAGTAAGAGTAAGGTAGCCATGAAATGCAAGAGTACAAAATGAACAACGAGACTTAGATGGTTGGAGTTAAAAATTCGACGACCAGGCCAAAGACACATTTGAACAAAACGGCCAGACCACTTGACGGCGATGACACACATGAACCGGAAGTGGAAACAATGCCGACATCAGTGCATGCATAGTTGACACACACCTGGGACCGGTTGAATTATTGACAGTATTGTAGTGGTCAGCTGGGCGTTTTCTTATCGCAATGATAATTTGTTATGAACGATTGATAGCGATTGTACAACAAAAAAAGTATAAAGGGGAATGTGCGACTGAATTATTAAGGACTATTTAATTACGATATTACTGAATTTAATGTTGAAAAATAGTTTTGATTCACCACGAAATTAACACCACTTAGACAATAACACCGCATTACCAATTGCTGGGCAGTTACGCTTAATTATATGATGCTCACCAATTTTCTTCTTCCTCGCCTTAATGCTTTAATGCCTTCTCATAACCATCTAAGTCTATTATATAATGTTCACCAATAACTAATTTAATTAACTTATCGTGTTAAATAATACTAATAATGATAGGTCAATTTTTTACGTCACAAGTAATACTTTTTGTGTAAATCATTTATCGTGCCCGGCGTATTTGTATACTTCTACCGGACTCTGTGAACTTCTCTAAGGGTTAAGATGTCTTAAAGGGTCAAACACGCCGTAGACTAGTTAGGCCCATAAAGTCTAGGGTAGAGCCCCGATTAGTTGGAGCCTAGTTTTTAATATATATGTTAATTTTACACTGAAGTATTACAATTTTGGTTATAAAATATCCAAAATGCATACCTAAACATTTTTATCATTATCAAAACTTTCAATGAATCGGTGCGCCATTCTATTTAGTAAAAATAAAAAATAAAAATAGTATCCTAAAATGTTAGTAAGGCTCTCTTTAGTTATATAAGCTTCTTTAAATTATTTAATATTTAATACAGCCACATTCATCACATTCCTTTATTCACGTCACTTACTGTGTATTACCTTATAACTTTAAACAAACTTTTTTTTAATATTTACTAGTTAGTAGAATAGATAATGATTCAATTAATATCTAAAAATAATTTATCCAATAGTTTAAATTTTATAATTTTCATACTTTTTTTTATTCGTCATACTTTTTAAATTCTTGAAAATAGCCCATAATAATAGTTTTATACTTATTCTATTACTTACTTATTATATTAAATTATAGATGTTGGATGAATGAAGCTTACTGGTCTGTTTTGGTGATGCCAGTCATTTTTTGCCTTCCTATAAACGTGTTGTTTCTGTTTAATATCGTCAGAGTACTCTGGGTCAAGTTACAAGCTGGTCCATCACACTTATCTAATAGCACACCATCACGGGCAATGCTTCAATCGTTCAGAGCTACATTATTACTAATGCCACTGTTAGGTCTTTATTATTTGTTAATGCCTTTCCGACCTGAAAAACACCATCCTTGGGAACGTTATTATGAAATTATATCAGCCGTTACATCATCGTTTCAAGTATGTATTATTTAAAAATATGTATTATCCAGTTGTACTTAACAAGTTAAAATCTTCTATTTTTAAATTTAGAAGTTCAACTATAAACTAGTTACTATTAACTAGTTTAAACTATGATTTCAAAATGATATATAAGTACAATCTTACACTTGCATATTTTTACGAAGTCTTTAAAGTTTATTCATCTCACCTACTTTAAACTTTTCGACTTATTTGTAATTTTATTAAACACTAAACCCGAGGGTTAAACCAAATTTATGTTAAAATTTTCTTATCTGCAAACTAAGACAAAAAACGTGTAAGTTTTAAGCTAAGTTGGTGATAAACTAGCAGCTTTACTTGACGTGTATTTCAGGTTATAATATTCTAGGGGTATAAGCAAACTATACCTTTTGCATAAGACTAAAAAAACCAACTTAAATATACATTATTATCATGATTAATAAGACAAGTTTTTTCTTCATAATAGCAATGTTAAACTATCCCCTCAAAAAAATACTTTATTATGTTTACAAAGTGTGTGAATTGAATTTGTAATTTTACCACGTTTGTCGTGATTTTGCTTATTTCACAGAAAGGAAATTTATACTACAAATAGTTTATGAACAAAAAACACGAATGAACGGCTTATCGCACAAAAATCGTGCTCAGTTTTTAATAAACTTTATTTTTTTTATTTAGGGGCTATGTGTGGCAACATTATTCTGCTTCCTAAATGGAGAAGTGAGTCAATTTATCAATTTTAAAGATTTATCATTTTAAATAACAAAATACACATACATAAATCTGTCAGTTTAGTTATATAGTTATACTATACTAATAATGATTATTTATGGCTACGATAGCCATACAAAAATATTATAATTAAAACTAATAAATTTAAATGTTACATGTGCAACTATATATTAGAGATAACTCAATTTTAATTTCAACTCATTTACTTCTAAGTTAAATTGTATTATATGTATGATTAACCAATTCCTGGACACAAAAGTGTACAGAAAAATTGTTATAACATCAAACAAATTTAAAATATGGTAAGCGACAAGAAAAATATGTTTGATCCATTCATTTTTGTTGTTTTTTTTTTATATTTCATTGGTAGTTACATTTTGTCATACAATGTTGCATATTATAATTTTAAAACTATAATATTAAATATATTCAGATTTTTTAAATATTTTGCTCATATTTCAGCTTGTGTATCACGCAATTTCCTATTTGGATCGCATATTTAGAATGTCAGTTACCTTTAAGCATTTATAACTATAGGTCAATTGACCTGAATTCCTTATATTTTCACTGTTTTGCATGATGCAGGTAGATGAACTTACGTAAAATATGTATAAATATATTATTCCATCTGTACATTTTCACATAATATACAACATTTTACTATTATAATAATATATTTTTATAATAAGTTATTTTAATAAACGAAAATTTATATAACTAACTAGGAGTTTTTCCGTTTATTTTTTTTAGACATTTATTTTAACTAATTAAATTTCTTATAGGTGATAGCACAGATCAAGAGACGATGGCAGTTTACGTTTTTTAGAAATAGAGCCAACTCTTATACGGCAACAACGGTCTCGGTACGTCAGGTTAGCTACTGATCACTATTTGCACGTTGCACGCACTTATTTGTTGAATATAATTATCCTTAAATAACCAACATTAAATATTAATATGGTAACCAAGTTAGTTTAATAATCAATATGAGTAGATGGGCACGGAAATGAAGAAAATAACTCTTAATAATTTGTTTTATTTTCTCACCAAAAGCGAGACAAACTAAAATTTCTTGAACTAATAATGAACTAATTATAATTATAGTATATAATTAAATAATTTAATTTTAAAAATTATAAAACTAAATATCATCAGGTAAAATCCAATCTACCCTTTTCTATTAAGCATTATAATACCTACACTTAATATTATCCGTTACATAGTTTGTGTATGTTGATCGCGTACTTTGGCTTTCTTCCCGACTAATCTTGATTCAATCAGTAACAGAAGTTTCTATTGTGTTGATCGTTCTAATCCTAAAAATCCCGTAAACCATTAATTAAAACTACTAGAAAATTTTTTACGTTAAAAAAATATCAAAAAAATTTAAAAATAGGTCAAGCGTAGTCCAAAATTTGTCATTAAAATTTTTAAGTTTTCAATATTTTAAGGTACAAGTTAGAATATGAATGCTACAAAATATTGTATATTTATACGAATTAACTATGAAAAAAAATTAATTTTGTAAGCTTCATGTCATATTTTTCTTAAAAACGAGATCTTTTTTTTCATAGAAAAGCTAATGTCTAAACAATATGCGTTCTGTTCTGATGATGATAACTTTGTTCTAAAATATATTTTTTTTAGTATATATATATATATATTTTTTTTTTTTTGTGGCTTTTTGAGTTAAAAATTTTTAATATTTTTAGTTTAAATTAATCAATAAAAAACAATAAATCATCATTATATTATAATAAAAGAAACAAATGGACTATAAAGAATACAAATGGGATAAATTGATCGAGTCCAAATAGAGAAAAGGTTAACTGTAAAATATATACTTATAAAAATATAATTATTCAATCTCATCATTAATATTTATCACAAATTCATTTATTTAATCAATTGTTTTACGTTATGAAAAAACTCTTTGACTAATTTATTCTATTTATCGTTTAATTAATATCATTTTCATAAAAATTAATATTTAAAAGAGAGATAAATTAAAAATTTTTAATTCATAAGTTGATATGAAAAACTTGTTTTTAATATAATAAATTTAATATGTTATTCATTATTATAAAATATGACTGATATTAAATTCTTGTAAAAAATTTATTAGTAACTAATTATTATTGATTAAACTTATATTATTATGTTATTTTTTTTACCGTAAACAATATCACATTTATATGTGTTATTTAAAATCTATCTATCCACAAAAAAGTCACACAAATTAAAGTAATGGTAATTTTTAGAATAACTTCATAACTAACTGATCAGACACGCATTTGACGACTGGAATATTCAGGGTTAAAAAATGTTTTAAATCACGTTTAAAACGTTTGAAAAATATAGATATTATAGTGAAATTATTTTATTACATAATATAATAATAATTCTTTTAATAATCATCATTACATTAACCACATAAATATTGCTTTACATTTTTATTGATGTGTTCTTATTTGATTTGACTGTATATCACTAGTTATACTAATTAATTTCGTAATTTTCGTCTATAGTCATAGTGCAGAGTAGATAAAGCATTTTTTAAATTCTTATTAAAAGATATGATATAATAAAAAAAAATTACTAGTCATCTACACTTAAAATGGTTTTATGACTACTGAATTATATTTAAAAAATCTATTATTATTAAGTATTATGTGATCATAAAAATTTAGAATTCTAGATATTTAAATAAATTACTTTATTAAATTTATTAGATTTCCCTATCATATACAAGATGATTAATTTATCATTGACCACTAGTTTTTTCATAAATAATAATAATATTTAAAATAACATTTTTGTATTTGTTTAGAAGTATTTAATTCTCTATTTATAAGGAGTTTAAAACTTTTAAAATACTGGTTCAAAAATTGGTATTGACCTGTCGTTTTTTTAGTTAGATTATTTTTTTATTATATAAATAAGACAAGGATTTTTGTTGCCATTTAATAAAAATTAATTGGTACTCTTAAATTGGTAAACTTAAAAATTGTTATAACTTTTTATAATCTATGAAAGAAAAACTCAAACTACTTAATAATAAATCAATCACTCTGTATATATATATTTGTTTATGTATAAAAAAATATCGAATCTGATTACACTGTTTTAGGTTTCTAAAAAAAAATAAAAATCAATACCATTTTTTCATAATTATTACTTAAAAATGTTGAGTCTCATTAATAAGAAAAAATACAAAATATTTTTATAAATTATGCTTAATATTCTGACATAATTATGGCTATAGAATTAAAATAAATAATCTAATACAACTTAATAAATTTAACTTATATAATTAGTATTTCCTCGAATAAAAGATAAATAAAATTTAATAAAATATACTGAAAATATTTTCAATTTTTTTAGTAACGATCTTGTAGTCATATTTTAGTTTAAATTTCGAGTATAATACAATTGAAAGCTAAGCATATCACAACTTAATATACAGACGGTTCAGTAAGTAAGGAAACAAGTCAATTGTTACAAACAATGAGAACAATAGATACCAATTTCCTTACTTACTGAACATTCCATATATACCTGGCTGTATATACATTTAGCTAATACAGAATCTTTTGTATTAAAATAAATTTGATGTTCAAAACAACTAACATTGGTATTATTAATATGGACATTGCTTTTCATTTAAAAAAATAATGCTATGGTGTATCATCACTGTTAAATTAATATTAGTGTACAATACTGTAGTAACTGTTTTGGGAATAGATAATGTTGCAATAATTTAAATATGTTAATATTTTACGGTAAGTTTGTACTTATGTATATTATAAACTTTATTTACCCTGAAATTATACTTAATGCGCGACACTAAAATGGATAAATATTTCTGAATAGCACTGAGTTATAAAATAATAGTGTTTACTGATTTTGGATACCCACGTGTAGTCTCACTTAAAAATAAAATAATATATCATGAAAGTATTGACAAATTTATTACAAAAATACAAACGTTCACCAAAAATAATATTCCATAGTTCATAATATTAAATAATTAATCTTTAAACATTAGTTTATTTGCTTTAGAAGCGAACAATTTTCTAGTAGAAAATTATTATTAAAAATAATGTGCACATAATTTATGCATTATCAAGACCGGATTGAAAAATTTTGGGTAACCAAGTTATTATATTTTTATTAGTCAATAAACTGATAAAATTCGATAAAATCGAACCTTAACGGTATAATTATATTTTTCAGTCTGTAACTTAATTTTAAAAGTCTATTCTAAAAGAAATAATTATATAGGCTAATATTTATTTTATCGCTATATCTTCAAAGCGGCCATCGAGATTTTCTTGGTATCTCGTCGGTACAGCATGTATCTGTTTTCTCTAAATTAATTACATTTCTTATAAAAATATATTACTTGCTTCGATAACATAAAAGAGATTAAAAATATTTTTCATTTTTTCAACATTTAACTGTGTTAAACCGTGAATCAGAGAAAACAAAAACTAAATTGGTTGACATATATTTAATTACATGTTTTGAAAGAAAGTATTTCAAATATCATTCCAAAAAATTAAGGAATATTACATTACAAAATAAGTGTATAGACCCGATGCTTTACCTGAATTTAAGTCATGAATAAATTTGAACATAGCAATACTATTTTTAATCGGCCAAAAATTTTTTAGTATAGCAAAGCATAAATTGTTCTTACATTAATTTTATAAATGCTAATTAAGTAATTAACATGCTACAGAGAGTAGTGGCTCTCTTTCACATGTTAGGGTGTCAAAGATAGTTCTTGGATAGGCCAGTGATGGACGGGACGGGTATTATGGCCGACCTGCACCAGAAACCAGACACTACCAATGAGTAGATCGTAAAAAATATCTGATTGATACCCTGGGGATCGAGCCCGGGACCCCGTCCGCTAAAACATACGTTTTTACCCACTAGGCCAGACAGGTCCCTTATGCTAATTAAATAATGTAAATAGTTAAAAAAAATCTTTCTATTGAACCTATCTTATTTAAAATGTTTTTTTATAAAATATACCGTTTCAAGGTGTTATTAATTTTTGTATCATGAGATATTATATATTTGTTCCTTATTTTGATGTAATATTTTGAACACTCGCTGAAAAAAGCATTAAATGTGGTATTTTTCTTGGTCGTTATGGTTCAATACATTTAGATGCATCAATATTTTCCAAAAAAGTATAATAAATATTATTGAAAAAAATAAACTAATAAGAATTTTAAAAACAATATTTTTTTGGTGATTTTTCGATAAAGGAAACGAGTAAAACTTTTGCTTAATCCAATAACAGTAAGTAATCAATAGGTAATATGTCACTTTTACATTAGGGAAAGTATTTCAATTTGATAATATTCAGATGCATAATAAAGCATGCTATACGTCGAAAACTTGAAAAATTATATTTCTTTGTTAAAATGAACAAAAAGTATATTGGTAAAATTCGATTATTTTTTTTCACATACAAATCCCATAGCAACTTACATTGTTTTTCAAAGACGGTAAGCATAAAACAAACTTTTTTTCTTTCCTCAAACAATCTTTGTTGTTTCATGTAAATTGCTATTGTATTTTATGGGAATATTTGCATGTAAAAATGTATTCCCGAACGTAGTGCTTTTTCTTAACACTTTAAACTTACGTTACACAGAATATATCAACTGTCATATTACTTGTTTTGCATTTAGTTGGAACAATTGCTGTATACTTTGCTAATTGATAAAACATTTGAGCGAAATTATATTTTGATATCATGTCATTTTTGTCTTGTATACTTTTTAAGAATTCTTGAAAAGTTTGTTCCAATTATAAAATATTCAAATATTATTCTTTGGATTGTTTTTGTATAAATAACACTACAAACTTTCTTGAAATCGTAGAAAACTAAATATTGTTATNCAAAGATAAACTTAACTAGTTGAGTTTATTATCAGTACTAGCAGATTTGCAAAGATATCATAATCATAGAATAATAACATTTTTTAACGGGTCAAATATTTCTCTTTCAAAGCCTTTTTTTTATATAAATAACACATGATTTTTCAAACGTAAAAAATAATTATGGTATAATTTTATATTGTTATTTTATATTCCAGAAATGTATTTATTTTTATGTTAACTAAAATTACACCATACATTCACAACGTAACTCAACAATTTGAGATTTTATTTTAAGATATACATATTAACATTTGAACACATCTCAAGACTTATGAAATAAAATGTATTCCAAAAAAAATAGAATAGAAATTATTTTAATCTATTATTTCTTGAGATAATGCAATTAAAAAGCTATTTCTACTGTTAGCTATGTAAAAAAATTTTATTCTTTTTTTCTCCTAAATAATTTCAGAAAATCTATGTACGCGTTTTGAAGACAACAATAATAATAATTTAAATAATAATAATTTTTCAAAACTTTGTTGATCTGTCAAAAAAAAAAATTTGTTTTAAAATAATTAGAATTTTATTAAAATAGAGATATTTAACTAAAATATACGTTAATTAGATGTTAAATGAACAAAAGAGATATTAAGTTAACGTAGTATCTCATTATTTCTCTTAAGCTAAAAGTTTAACTTAACTTTAACTTATTAAGACGTTTATAACCAGTCATGATATTGTAAACATTATTTTGTTGTATTATTTTTTTTAGGGGCCCAATAGTATGTACTCCAAAGTAACACAATTGAGTTAAGAGGAAACCAAATAATACGCGTACCATTGTTAATTTTGTTAACTATCAAAGTTCCTGATTGAAAAACAAAAACATTCAGATTATTTAAGGTTAGTGCGATACCTAAAAAATACAAATTAACATATACTTGTATTCGTTGTGACTTTAATTGTTATAAAATTTTAGTATGCTTAATTTATATTTGTAAGATTGTTATTAAAGTTTAAATAAATTTTATGATATGTGTATTTAATTGTTAAGTTTTAGTAATAAGTAAAATTTTTAATCTATTCATGTGTGAATTTTTTTTTTAATAAAATATGATTTTTTATATACCATTTGTAGAATATTGAGATATGAGATCAATAAATATTGAAACTTTTGTAATTGTATTCGAATTTAATGGTAATATACCTTTTTCATTTAAATATGAAGCATCAATCTATATTGAAAATAATATATTCGCAAAGCGGACAAATCCTCATATTTATTTATTTTTAAATCATATCTAAAATAAAATATTTTAAATTAAAAAATTATAACTACCAACGTGTAAATAAATGACATAATTACTGACGTGCGGTCTACCAGATTGTACTCTTGTACTGGTGTACTGGTGTCCTTATCACCTAATCGATTGTCACATTTTACCAGTTTAATCAAAGTTTAATGTTTTTTTTAGTTGGCCAAGATCCCAAATAATTAAATTATTTTTAATTTTAAATAATATTGGCCACAAGTGATTAATTCTTTTTATATAAAATAAAATATTAGATGAACCCAATATAAATCAATTAAATCTCAACTTTTTTAATAAAAGTTTAATTTGATATTAAAATAGAATATGAAGTCATTAAGTTAGCAGGGAAATTTATATTAGTTTGATACATAGTATTTCTTCACATTTATTATTTTNTACAATTTGAACACATCTCAAGACTTATGAAATAAAATGTATTCCAAAAAAAATTGAATAAAAATTATTTTAATCTATTATTTCTTGAGATAATGCAGTTAAAAAGCTATTTCTGTTAACTATGTAAAAAAATTGTATTCTTTTTTTCTCCTAATAATTTCAGAAAATCTATGTACGCGTTTTGAAGACAACAATAATAATAATTTAAATAGAAATAATTTTACAAAACTTTGTTGATCTGTCAAAAAAAAAATTGTTTTAAAATAATTAGAATTTTATTAAAATAGAGATATTTAACTAAAATATACGTTAATTAGATGTTAAATGAACAAAAGAGATATTAAGTTAACGTAGTATCTCATTATTTCTCTTAAGCTAAAAGTTTAACTTAACTTTAACTTATTAAGACGTTTATAACCAGTCATGATATTGTAAACATTATTTTGTTGTATTATTTTTTTTAGGGGCCCAATAGTATGTACTCCAAAGTAACACAATTGAGTTAAGAGGAAACCAAATAATACGCGTACCATTGTTAATTTTGTTAACTATCAAAGTTCCTGATTGAAAAACAAAAACATTCAGATTATTTAAGGTTAGTGCGATACCTAAAAAATACAAATTAACATATACTTGTATTCGTTGTGACTTTAATTGTTATAAAATTTTAGTATGCTTAATTTATATTTGTAAGATTGTTATTAAAGTTTAAATAAATTTTATGATATGTGTATTTAATTGTTAAGTTTTAGTAATAAGTAAAATTTTTAATCTATTCATGTGTGAATTTTTTTTTTAATAAAATATGATTTTTTATATACCATTTGTAGAATATTGAGATATGAGATCAATAAATATTGAAACTTTTGTAATTGTATTCGAATTTAATGGTAATATACCTTTTTCATTTAAATATGAAGCATCAATCTATATTGAAAATAATATATTCGCAAAGCGGACAAATCCTCATATTTATTTATTTTTAAATCATATCTAAAATAAAATATTTTAAATTAAAAAATTATAACTACCAACGTGTAAATAAATGACATAATTACTGACGTGCGGTCTACCAGATTGTACTCTTGTACTGGTGTACTGGTGTCCTTATCACCTAATCGATTGTCACATTTTACCAGTTTAATCAAAGTTTAATGTTTTTTTTAGTTGGCCAAGATCCCAAATAATTAAATTATTTTTAATTTTAAATAATATTGGCCACAAGTGATTAATTCTTTTTATATAAAATAANGTTAAAATATTAATTTACAAGTAAAAAATATTTATCTCAAAAAACCTTTTCTATCCTTAAGTTTTACTTTTCCCATATTTCATTATCCATGTTACTACTATCAACACCAAACACTAACACCCCAACCAAAAAATACCCTCTTATATACTCCTGGTGTCTTTATCACCTAATCGATTGTCACATTTTACCAGTTTAATCAAAGTTTAATGTTTTTTTTAGTTGGCCAAGATCCCAAATAATTAAATTATTTTTAATTTTAAATAATATTGGCCACAAGTGATTAATTCTTTTTATATAAAATAAAATATTAGACGTACCCAATATAAATCAATTAAATCTCAACTTTATTAATAAAAGTTTAATTTGATATTAAAATAGAATATGAAGTCTTTAAGTTAGCAGGGAAATTTATATTAGTTTGATACATAGTATTTCTTCACATTCATTATTTTTCAATATATATATAAAGTTGATTATTTTTTAATGTAAGTGGTACTTACAAATTTTTCAGAAAATTAAAATTATAATTGAATAGACATTTGTAAGTTATATTATTTAGATATTTACAGAAATTTTTCGACTTCCGTACAAACACTCATTAAGATGCTTGACAGAGATTACCATGATACACGAGTTCTTATTAGTGTCAAAGTCGACTTGCTCATTAAAATTATGTTACTTTGTTGTACAACACATAACGTTGATTTTATTAGTCATTGTAAGTATAAAATAATATTATTACGTGCATTTTGAATTTAATAGGTAATCTTAGTATAACCTTCAAATAGGTGTTCANNNNTTATCACCTAATCGATTGTCACATTTTACCAGTTTAATCAAAGTTTAATGTTTTTTTTAGTTGGCCAAGATCCCAAATAATTAAATTATTTTTAATTTTAAATAATATTGGCCACAAGTGATTAATTCTTTTTATATAAAATAAAATATTAGATGAACCCAATATAAATCAATTAAATCTCAACTTTTTTAATAAAAGTTTAATTTGATATTAAAATAGAATATGAAGTCATTAAGTTAGCAGGGAAATTTATATTAGTTTGATACATAGTATTTCTTCACATTTATTATTTTTCAATATATATATAAAGTTGATTATTTTTTAATGTAAGTGGTACTTACAAATTTTTCAGAAAATTAAAATTATAATTGAATAGACATTTGTAAGTTATATTATTTAGATATTTACAGACATTTTTCGACTTCCGTACAAACACTCATTAAGATGCTTGACAGAGATTACCATGATACACGAGTTCTTATTAGTGTCAAAGTCGACTTGCTCATTAAAATTATGTTACTTTGTTGTACAACACATAACGTTGATTTTATTAGTCATTGTAAGTATAAAATAATATTATTACGTGCATTTTGAATTTAATAGGTAATCTTAGTATAACCTTCAAATAGGTGTTCATTGAGAGCTTTCCCCAAGGAATAAGTTCAGAGAGATAATTGTAATTTTTTCCTATTACATTTCTAACAAATGTTAATAGAATACAACATGTACAGTTTCTTATAGGTAAATGGAGTTACTTAACTTGCCTTATTATAAAAACTTAATTTTTGTTTAAATAAGATTTAGTTATCTTTAAGATACTTTTTTTTATTTGAGCATTATTATCTATGCCAAACAAAAAAATTATTAAATAAAAGAAGTTTGGACAAAGTGGATAGATGAGTTTAGGGGCAAAAAAATGTACCAAGTATTGTTACGAAACATCTTTTAATAAGTAATAATATTGTAAAATTATCTCAAATTTTATATTCTTCTCTTGAAATTAATTATATATTCATATGTAATAAGTTAACGAAAGTCTTTTAAAAAAATTAAAATTATTTACTTTACTGAATACGCCGGTAGAGAAATTATTTTAACTGACACCAATTTATTTTAGAAAAATTTATCTTATTCGAATCTTAAAAACTACTTTCTATCTTTTAGACGAAAAAAAAATTAATTTTTACTACAATCTCAATCATATTAGATGTAACTTTAGTTTTGNGTCTCAATCACAATAGATGTAACTTTAGTTTTGTTTGTTTTAGCAATATGAGAATTCAAAAATAAAATTTCAAATATATCTTAAACTAGTCACTCTTTTATTAATTTCATTAATAGACACTTCTGTAACGGTTTTACCTTAAAAAATAGTTTTAACACTGCAAGTTGTAAATATTTACTTTAGCTAGTAGCTAAATTTTTGACAAATAACGATTGCACGCTATTATCAGACGCGATTGCTAACTAAATGAAAGCCTGATGTGGTTATCACATTGTACTTTATTATTTGTTCATTTTACATTGTTTAAATTTACAAAATTAATTTATGAAGTTTAGATTTTGAGATATTATCATTATTCACTTTGTTCGAGTGTCGATTTGCCTGAATTCTCTCTAAATCATTAACAACAAAATAGGATTTTTGCAATTTTATTTACACGGTTCTTTTTGTGTATGGTATAAGAAAAACTTTTTTATAAACGCGATGAATTCAAGAAACAACTGGAACACGAGTACCACTTTCAAATTAACTTAATAACGAATTGTAAGTAACACAAGTTTCAAAATTTAATAAAAAGATAGCAAATATTCGTCGAAACATTTTGAATTATCAAATTTATACCTTGATGTATAATATTCATCAAACTTATAATTTTCGATAAAATATACACCCAAGAAAGATAAATAACAACAAATTAAATATAGATATTTTTTGAAACAACATTATTTTTAGACATCATCACCACAACATTTTAAATTAATACTTGAAAGATTCAATTTTGAGGGAGTGGGTGTAGCATGGTGCAATGGATCGTTCAGTCGCCGCTTCAACGATGATGTTCAGCTACGTTATATTCTAGTTGGTTCGCAGATGGGTTACCATACACATAACAGTGGTACATGCACACCTTGTGACTCCTTACAAGCTCCTTCAACCATAATACGATTACGTCAGGTTCATCAAAATCCTGTCAAATAGTAAGATAGAGCCGACCCCAAATAATTGGAGTACAGGCTAAAGAGATGATGACCATGACTTAATTAAAATATACTTCTTCAATAAACTGACCAATGAACAATTAGTTGGAAGAATATTAAAACGACTTGATTGGTTAAAAACTTTTTAAAGAATTGCATATTTGTATTTCTTAAAGGATTAGATTAATAACACCTAATCATTTTCATAAGTAAATTATTTTTTATTTTATAAGCTAGATACCTACCGCAGTAGGTGAACGGATGGGTGACCATGCGTGCGCTTCTACGGTGGCGAAAAAGCACCATGTTCCCAATGCAAAAGGCAACGGGAAACCATTGCAATTAAATTTCTCCAAAATATACCAATCCACTTAGTATTAACTAACCTAACGATTGTAAAACAAAAAATAAATTAGATAAATATATATGTTGCCATTTGAAAAAATAAAGTTGACACCCTTATAAGATATAAGGGATGAATATAAAAAAACTCATAATTGATAAATTGAGAAAAACATGATTCTAAAATAATTTTTTTAAATAATGTATTAATATTATATTTATTTTATCGAAAAATAAATATAATATGCTTCGTTAAATTCTAATGACATTGTATACTTGCTGGTAAATTATTCTTGAATATGTTTTATTACTTAATACTATTTATTGTTCGGAATTTCATTTAAAATTGAAAAAAATTAATAGTAATAAAAAAAATTTAATTCACTTATATATGAAACATGTATAGTGGCACAATAAATAAGAATACGGTGCTGAGTAAAAAATGAAAATGAAATCGATTAAAAAAAAAAAAGATAAACAATATATCTCCATATTAAAAATTAAACAGATACATAGGTAGTATTTTCATATTGTTAATCATGAAATTTAATTCAACAGAAAAGTCCATCATGTTACTCATACTGTACTCGGGAGGTTTGAGCGTAGGGTTAGTTTTTACGTCCACATATAAAAATCAATAACGCACAATGCATTACTGTGTAAGTTTGATAACGTTTTATGCGAATTTAAGTTAAATAACAAAGTACATGCTTTATTTTGAACTTTGTAATGATAACATATTTTGCCAATAAAACCAGCTAAATAATAAATAAAATCTAATAAGTTATTTGTAAATACAAGAGACGATTTTTTAGTAATCTTAAAATGTTGGACCAATTCCAATAATGGAACCACGCTACAAAACACTTATTATTTTTGTAAACATTTGTGTATTTTTAATATGCTGTACGTGTCTTAAAAAAACATTTCATTGGCTTATTTCACCACATCATTCAAAATTCAATGAACAAGAACTTCTAAAAACCTCTGATGAAATAAAAATGAAAGCAAAGATCACTTTTGAAAAAAGTAACGAGTTATTGTTAACACGTGATCAATATTCAAGTTATCTTAGTCTTTTTTTTGGAAGTTGGAAAACACTTATCTCAGATTTAACAAAATATTGGTGGATAACAATAGTATCAACATTACTTCCCTTGTTTATGTATTGGAGATTCAAATGCAATATAAGAATTAAAGTAAGATTTTTTAAAACCTTAACTATTAATATTAATTTTTTTAATGATATGTTTCAACTTAGTTTTCTGAATGGAAAACAAATTGCAATCAAAACAAGCAAAATGAAAAAAATAACTCTAGACGGTTAACATTACCTGATTTAACATTGGCTAAGCATGCCAGAAGAGAATCTATGATTGATAAACAAAAGAAGTTATATACAAGTAATTTTAAGTTAAATATTTAGATTATCATAATTGTTTAATAATTATAGAAAAAAATTAGTTGACAGACAACAATCAATTAGCAATGCTACAACTGAACTCAATCTTTCAAGGAAATGGTCGTTTGATAGAGGTGAAGATATGCCATCAGAAAAAAAAAGGACACATCTTATTAGACGATATTAATATATTCAAATATGCTTATAATATTGTATATATATATATATATGTTACAACAATTAACTATGTGCCAATTAAAAAACTGATTGTGACATTGAAAGGTTTACAGTGTTGCTTAAGTTTTTACACAAATACTTCAAAATGATCAATACAAAATTTTTAGTTCTTAAAAAGTACTCACAGAAAAAAAAATCATCTTTAAAGTCATGGTAAAGTATTATTCAGTGGGCGGACTTATTTATTTTTAATAAACATATTTGTACAAACATATTTTTAAAAACACAATTAAAAATTTACATATATTTTACCACCATTTTTAACAGTCTGAATTATTCTCCCTTAACTTTATCACTATCATCTCTATAATGTAGAAACACAAAGCTGAACACAAATACCCCAAACATCATTGAGAAAGCGCTTGCATAATATGGATAAGCACTTAATATAAATCTTTCATACTGAGTGTGTTCTAATGGTATCACAGAAACCTAAAGTTAAAATATAAAAAATTTAATGTAAATCAATAGTTTTCTAAATTTAGCTCAAATAAGTAAATTTGTAAAATTTATTAAAAATAAATTTATACCATGGTAGAGCTTCTAAGAGAAGTGAATCCAATCCTATTATAGTCAACTTTGAATTGATACACTCCATATGTGTCTGGGATTTTAAAAGTAAACTCATATTTGCCAGAACCAATATTTTTTAAGTTACCACGCCAAAATGGATCTATGCGAACAAATTCTACTTGTACATCATTGGCATTATGTGGAATCCAATTTCCATTCTCCCAACGTTCCAATTCAAGCAAATAAACCTTTAATACAAACAAAGAATAATTTTAATTTCAACAAATTTTTGATGGATTCAAAATACTTACAGCCATATCCATTATAGTATAAGAAGGTGGAGGAGATGTTTCTCCAAGTTTATGATGAGAAACAGATTTCACTCTTATTACACCTCTATCCTTTAAAGTCCATAATGCAATATTAATAGCTGCTTCCTGATTTCCTGAGATATCATGGGTTTTTCCATCCTATAAGATAATAATAAATATTTTGCTTATCTTTCATTATTTAATATACTCACAGTTATTCTTTGTATAGAAGATTTAAATGCAGAATCTGAAAAGAAATATAATGAACCAGAAAAAACGACTCTAGCATTGTTTCTTGCTTGAAGAGCTGCTATGAGCAAGAGATCTTTACCAGTTCCAAGTGAATACTATACATAATTAATAAAGCAGTTAGCAGATATATTTATTTAATTATACCAAAAAATATGAAGTCTTTTAAACTTACATCTTTAACAGCAACATCTGGTTTGTAGGAATATGCAGTATCTTCAGCATGTAAAATTGGTAATACAAGAAGATTTTGTGGATCAGCAATAATGGTAGTACCTTCGTACAATAAATCCTTATTATTGGGTTTCCCTACAATTTCTTCAGACTTAATCAAATTTGATGAACTTACAACCACTCTAGTATGCTACCATTATAATATATAACAGTAAATAAAATTTCTAGAATAACAAATACAACAATTAAAAATAATTATTACTTTTCCAGGATCGCTGGCATCATAATTTAAATGATCTATTAATAGTGAGTTTTCTTCTGTTACTTCAAAACCACATTCTGCAGCTAGTTCTCTGAGAGCAGATCCAGTTGAAGCACCACCAGTAAATAACACATTGCCTAGAATGTAAATGTAAAANATAACACATTGCCTAAAATGTAAATGTAAAAGATATTTTGTAACATTAACAGCATAAAAAAAATTAGGAATAGTTACAGTAATCATAGCCATTCAAAATTATCTGTGATTTCAGTCTTACTATAAAATAATAATTATCTTACAGTAAGACTAAAGTGACACAAAAAGAAAGTAATATAGATAATTAGTATCAAGAACAGAACATTTATACGATCAACCTCAATGGATCCAAAGTAAAAATATTAGGAAGGTAATAATATTTAATATTTATTTAGACTGTATGAGCTTATTGCCAATATAGAATTCAATGCTATTCCTAGATCGTTGTAAATTAATAGTTTTTCTTTAGTACCTTTTAAAGAAGTCATAATTTTATAATTGTTGTATTATATCTGAAAGGGCATAATTTACTTTTTGATAGTTTTCAGAAGATACAAAAAATTTAATATTTTTACCTAATGTTTTATATAACTTATCAAATTCAAATATCAATATCCTGTGAAAAACTACACGTGTATATTATATTGATATCAGTAGATCAGTAGTCATATTGAAACATGCTACAAAATGATGATTTAACTTTATATAGTTCTTTATTTTGTAACAAATTGATTTCAAAATAAAAATAGCTAAGCAGTATAGTTTGTAACTCAAAAATATCTTTTGTTTATAAAATTAATAATTTAAAATTCAGGAATTTTCACCAAATCTTATAAATTTACAAAAATTAAATAATTTCATAAATTGATAACGTCTTACCTCCATTATCTATAAATTCAGTAATGGTATCTACTCCCAATGATCCACCAAATTCTTGAACATTTGGGGCAAATATTATCAAATTTTCATAAAAGTATTTTCCATACTTAGAAAGCACTAAAGAAGGATCGTCAGCTGATTTAAATGTTAATTGATATCCTCTATCTGTTAAATATTAAGATATTAACTTTAACTATTACATAATACATGGCCATATTGGTAACATATATAAGTGTAGGCAATTTTACAAACCTTTAAGAGTTTTAAAAAGTATCGAATGTGTTTCTTTGATCACTAAATTGTTCAACAGTACTAACGTTTCTTTAGATGCATTCGAAAAAGCTAAAAATATTAAAGTAAATAATGTGCACACGTAATAATTTAATAACATTTTATTTAAATAGAATCAGGTTTTAAGTAGAAGAATGACCAGTAAAATATATATTTAATTAACGGTTGAAATTTCTGTAAAAATAATAATTGAAGAATTTTACAATACACACTAGGCGATTCCAACCTAAGATAATACGTATCACAAAACGCCACGATGCCGGTAAATAACAATTCTACCAACTTATGTGTGGTAAATGTCGGATGCACAGTATTTGTTATAATCTAGTTGTATTATCACAGCTATATGAAATTCCAGACAATGTGATATTGTTGAAAATACATATTTCCATTGCTGATGAAAATACTGTTGAAATGATTCCAAAAATTTGGGTTAATAACAAAAAATATATATGTATTTAGCCAAAAAGTTGTGTAAAGCCATCACGTTGAATATTGGAAATAATTTTATTAAATTTGGATTATTTTTTTTTTAAATTATGCCTATTAATAATACATATATATTTTTTATAGATTAAAAAACTTTTTGACTAAAAACACATTATTTTAACATTTGATTCAGATGTTGATTTGGTATTGGTAAATTTGTACGATTATAAAAATTGCCGAAATTAGCCCTTAATACATAAAACCATTTAAAGTACTAACAAAAATTAATGATCTAAATTTCAATTATAAAATTCAAATAGTATTAAAAAAACTAGTTGAGGATGACATTTGAAAAATATTTTAAACCTTATTAAAATATTATGCAATATAAATGAAAAATAGTGTCCTAATAAAAACTCTGCGTGGGCATAAAAAAAAGTTTAAAACGAAAATAGTACAATTGAACAGTAAGCTCATTATAAAGCAAAAGTTATATATAACAATAAACATGATCAAATATATCAATTAATTTGTATTATAAACATATTTAAAAGAAATCGACAGAAAGTATCTTAAGAAAAGTATGCTTAATAAACTAAATATAATATATAATAATAACAAACATAATATCAAATAAATAAATAATAACTAATACAATTAATTCATAACATTAACACACAATATTAATAACATCTTATATTAATTATGAATTCAAAAGAAAATTAAAACGTAAAAAATAAAAATGCTCATAAAACGGTGAAAAATGAACGGATTGAATTGATTTTTATATCATATTTCAGAAATGTCATTGGCGGGTTTGGTGAACATTTCAAACCTTAAGTCGTAAAACGCTGGCGTCAGCAAGCGTTATACTCGAAAACGGTTGAAATTTTAAAACGCTCGCGGGTGATTGGGAAAAATTTTTCTGATCTTCGCCAATAATTTTCCCGGAGTCTGGTAACCAAGTACTTTTATTGAAAAAATAAATTTTGAAAATCCAAGCACGCTAGGTAATTTTCCCAGAAAAACGTTTTTTCCTTGTTCTATTATATAATAAGATACATTATACTGTATATTAAATGTCATATTTCTTAAACATTACATACGTTTACATTAATTGTAGAATGAATATTGCATGCAACAAGAAAATAAGTAAAAAATTTTGGTGGAAATAATGAAGGTGTAGCGTTTCAAAATCTATGTCCATGATGTACAAATAAATAAAAATGTATTGTATAAAAATTATCATTTATACAATAATTATCATACATGATGACATTTTTTACTAATTAAAGGATAGAAATATCAACTTTTTATCATACGAAATTGTATTTTATTTTAAGTTTGATGCAGAGCTAACATTAAGAAATTATAATAGAATAAAATATTTACCAATTATAAAACCAGATTATGGGCATAAAAAATGTGAGAATTTTTTAGAAAGCAAATACATGATCTCCGAGTACTCCTAAATATCCAATAATTTTTTGAATAATTTAATTTATATTAAAATTACCAGTATTTTTTTTTAAATATGATAATTTAAGTTAAATAACTCGTAAATATAACTTAATGTCAGAGAATAATTGACAGGAAAAGAAAGTAATGATTATGTATCATAGTAGTACAATTTTTCATAAAAATAGACGAATCATATATTATTATTATGAATTTCATCAATATGACAATATCAGTAATACAATTAATTATATGATGAGTAAATTTAGAAAGCAGCATAATATATATATATATGAGTATATAGATGATATAGAGAATATATATAAATTAATGCCTTCATTACTATTTATATAATTATTCCTTAATATTTCGATTATTAATTAAAAAAATATATATTATGAATAATCAAATCTAAAATTATATAAGTAGAAAAATTAGATTAAATTATCCTCCAAATTGACTAACACAAGAACTACTAAAGGTGAGCATATGCTGGATTCATTACTCCTTTAGCAGGGTCAAACAAATATAATAATTCAAGGCTTTAATAATAAATACAATATTTTTCAGTTGATAAAATCAAAGATATTATTTCAAATTTCTAAATTCAAGGTTATTTAAGTATATATGTTTTGAATAAAAATACTATTTAATTCAGGAATATTACTATTTTTATTGTCAATAGTTTATTAACATAAAACTCCAACCTTAAAATCCCTTAAAGTATTAAATCTAAATTTTAATTAATTTTTCAGAAGAAAATAAAATTTAAAAAACAAATCAAGAAAAGAAGATTCAATTTGCTCAAATTCGATATATTATTCTAATCCTGTTTAATTAGGGTAAGTTCTAAGAGAAGAGTAAAAGCTCATTTTGAAAATTAGACAATGCATGGGACCGAGTATTGTAAATGGATGTCTATAAATTATAATAAATAAGTATAGGATTTTTGTAATTAGTCGAGTTATTAAAGTTCATGTATACTACACAGATTTTTAGTTAAAATAATTTAGCATATTAATATTAAGATTAAACAACGTAAAAAATATTTATTCAATATTTTAAACATCTTTAATTTTCTATGAATGTTTACGCATCATTATTTTTTACTAAGATATTACTTAATTTAAAATTTGATGTTATGAAATGTATTAAATAATAATTCAAAAATATTTAAAACTAAATAATGAATGTATGGTAACAATTATTTTGCGTTAATTTACTGAGAATAAAATAAAATACCAATGAAAATATAACTAAAAGAATAAATTAATTTAATATTAAACATTGGAAAAGAAATCTTTAGTAAATATTCATTTAATATTTTGTGTTACTCGTGGAAGTTTATTTTTATATCGATTTAAAATAAAATAAAGAACAGAAATTTAAATTATCGAACCAAGCTATATTTCGTTTACAAAACAATAGGCATGTTTATTTTACAAAAGAAATTTAACTCGGTGAGAGAAAAAAAAATTAATTAAATAAAATATTGAAAAATGTTATTCAAGAACAAAAATTGAAATTACATATTATTAAATATGCAACAAATATTAAACGGCAATATAAAGGAACAAAGATAATGAACATTTTAACAAAAAACATACCTCAAATGTGTGGAAAACAACAGCTGTCAATCGTTGGAAAAATAATCAAACTTACGTAAGGATTCGGTCTGTAAGGTACGATTGCCGCGCAANCTTACGTAAGGATTCGGTCTGTAAGGTACGATTGCCGCGCAATGAAGAAACTTGGCAGCGACTTGGCCTTCCATGACATTCATACGTATCACGTCACACTTTTTCATCAGACGCCCGTTGCGAGTTGCAAATGCCTCCATTTAAGCGATTGCCTCACTAAGCCTATCGAATACACTCCGACCATATTCGATAATAGTGGATGGCTCATACGATCAACTCTCTGAGCTTCATACATCGAACGGTGTCTGGAACGTTTGGCTCAGTTTGTGCAGATATAACAGATGTTTGATACTATGTATTTCTTTGGAGACAAAATCGTCTATGGTATTCAAAATTTGCAACCGTTAATCTATTAATCTCGCAACACTTCGAAGGCTGAACTCAGTGGACGAGTGTTCCTCGTAACGGACTGTGGATCTCACAAACTCATCTTCAATCGAGTGGATCAGGCGTCGATACAATTATTCGGCATCAGTAGATATCCAATTAACTGGTCCCGGCCTTCTTCGATTTGCATTATTATTTCTGAAAGTTTCGTACCTTGTGAGTCCATGTTGAGCTTGTTGAATGAAATGATTTTCACGATGCACAATTTTTAATCGCAACCACGAAATGTTAATTAGACACTTACTAGACAAATTCTCTTTACCGTATATATAGGTAGGAATTCTATAGTTGCTTAGAAACAGACTTGTTATAATAATACATTTTCAATTTAATTTAAAAAAGTACACTTTGTTATTTTACTTAGAGCCAGTATACTTAGTTATTTTACATTAAGTCAATGTACTTTTTAATAAAATGTTTTTATACTTTGAGCCAGCATATTTTATTATTTTTCTTCTATTTTATTAATTTAATTTTAATGATTGAAATTGTTTTTTTATTGAGCTAAATACTAAAAAATGAATATTATAGTTTCACTGTATGTTAGAAGGTATATTTTAATATAGTTCATTAGACATTTCTTATTAGTATAAGCTATTTTTTTACACCGATTACAAATATGTAAAAATAATAGGTTGATTAGAAATAATTAAAATTATATATTACTTT